TCAGATTTTTAGTGAAATTGACATAAATGTATAAATCTATCTTCTCACTCCAACCAGTCAAGGCAGAAGGCCGCCCCCCAAGAGCTGGGGTCTGTCGAAGGTTTCTTCCGTTAAGAGGAGCTTTTCCTCCCCACTGTTGCCAAGTGCTGCTCAAGGGGGATTTGTTGGGTTTTTTCCTGTAATAGTGTGAGGTCTAGACCTGATTATGTAAAGTGCCCCGAGACAACTGTTGAGAATTGGTGCTGTGCTATAAATTTTATAGAAGGTTTTGTGAGTCTGCCAGTGCTCAGGAGCAATGTGGACCTCTGAAGCTTTTTTCCCAAACCACAGCCAAAACATTCATTTGACATTCATCCTTTCCTGAGGCCGGGGTCCCTGCTAGTGAAAGTGATCTGAGGTTCAGGACAGGGACCACGCCCGAACACACGCTGGTTCCGTTCCTCATTACATTTAAACCACCTGTTCAAACTAGTCTTCCTGCCCAGCCAGCCCCCTTTTTTCTCATCTCTCCCTTCTTTCTTCTCTCCTTCTCTGCAGGGGCTCCGCTGGTGCCCGGGAGCGGCACTGACCTCTGAAGCCTTTTTTCCCCACACCACAGTTCATAAGCAATCATTTGGCATCCATCCTTTTCTGAGGGCGGGGCCCCTGCTAGTGAACTTAACCTGTGCTTGTCAGTAAGCAGCACATGGGTATGTGTGCAGACAAATTATGGGTGGACATTGTTCTGCACTGTGCATGTGTTGGATATTGCTAACAAGCCTAAAAGATTCTTCTCTGCCCATTAGGGTTGATTGAAGTCATATGTGCTGCTGGTAACACTGGCACACAAGGTTTTTTTTTCTCTTCTTGGACAAAATGGTCGCCATGACATGTCAGAACCAGTCAGTCCTTCCATCAGTCCTGGAGTTTGTGCTGGAGTGCAGCTTGGGGGATGTGCGTGACTGAGATTGGCATCGGTAACAGAGCTGGAATAACACAGACCAGATTTGGGCTTGCATTATTATGTTCCCTCACTGTTCAACATCTGTTAGATCACAATTATTCACATGCACCAGTAAATATTTTGGAAGTTATTCACACATACACATTGTCTTAGTACAAGATGTACTTAAGCCCCTGTGGCAACAGCACATGAATTTTAAAACTAGAAGTTAGAAAGGTTTAAAGTGATATCTAAATGGTTTTAGATCAGTAAAATAAATAAATAATCTGAATGAAGCCTATATTTTTAATTGGCCATTATCTTTTGCAAAGTGCTATTTTCATCAAATAAAAAAAATGATAGTGTGCTCTTGATAAGGCTTGACTTTTTGTTTGTTTGTAGAGATGGGGCTTGGGATATACTGTATTAGTTTTATTGTTATGGCATTGTGGTTTCACAAAGGCACTCAACAACACAAGTGTTTTGTAGCATCTTTGATGCATTCTCATTACAGACAAGATACACTTCCATTTTTATAAATAGATCAATGCACACAAAATTCAAGAGGAACATTTATTCTTGTTCTCTGTTTTCTCTAAAGCTTGACTTCAGTTTCTGCTTCATTGTTACATCTCACTCTACACAAGAGTAAAATTCTTTGGCCTGATGGAAAACGTTATGGATCATTACTTAACCCTGCCAGGCCAGGCACTGAGGCTGTGGTACTGCCCGCCATATGGTCCATTGTTGTGGTGGATGGGGTCTCCGATGGCGTGACAATCTTTCTCGATACACCACTTGTTGTAGAGATCCTAGATGGAGGGAAGCTCAGAGCTGTCTGTAAAACTCTTTGGAGAGCTCTGTGGTTGTGGGTGAACTTGCTGCCAAACCATCCAGTGATGCAGCTAGTGAGGATGCTCTCAGTGGTTCCTCTTTAGAAGGCCCGCAGTATTTCGGGCTCTGGCCCAGACCTTTTCATTACTGTAATAAATTAGTGAAGCGTAGTGATGTAGTGAATTTGGATCTAGGCCTTTCATGGTCACTACAGTGGACAGCTATTTAAAAGCTGTTTTCTTGTACTGGAATGGGTTCTGATTGTGTAGTTGCATATCACCCGCTACAGCGGACGCTAGTGTGCCACCCACTGGTCAGCCATTGTTAATGGCAACAATAATTTTCTGAAACCAAGATGGCTGACGGAAAGCCAGAAAGGCTGCGTAGCTTAGGAATATCTTGCCAGTCCTTCTATAGGAGGTGAGCCTAGGAGGTAATAAATTAATAAATAATATAGAAAGGTAGCATCATCACCTGTCCACTAAACTGGAAAAATGCATGTAAAAAACATGAAGTTGAGTTTTTCCTTTCATGCCCAAAGAGTAAGTAAAACACTGAGGGGAAAAAATCCTGACTGTGGCTTTCGTAATTCATGCATGACAGGGCTAGGCCTACTTTTCTTTTCTTGGTTCTAGTATAAGGTTAAGGCTTGGGTCACAGGTTGAATTTCTTTAATTTTCTTTAATTGTACATGTCATGACAAATCATGGCATTCATTTTTGATACAAACAGACACATTTCCAGTTTCCTGGAAGACCAACTATTATTATAGTTCCAACACACTGTACAATGCAACAAAGATCCAGGAGGTTAATAAAGTTTTCTAAGACAGGAATAGCACAGAGGGAAGAAGTACTGGAAAGCATGCAAGTGTTTTCAGTTAATCAGAAATTCAGCCAGCCACTCAGCTGCACACACACACACAGAGAGAAAGGTCTCATAACCTCCATGGAAAACAGGTGCTGAGTCAGTGAGGAGAGGAATGCTAGAAGAATGGGGAGGGAAGGGTAGCATGTCTGTGTGCGCATAGGTGAGAGAGAAAAGGAGTGAGAGGTGTGTGTACATCTGCGGTGAGTGAAAGAGAGTGTGAGTAGCGCTGAGTGGAAGCCAGAGAGCCCAGGAGAGAACAAGGGGAGGAGATTCTCTGGAGATTGCGTGCGGACATCAAATGTTTACCTGTAACAAAAAGAAAGGGGAAGGTGTAGAAGAGAAAAAAACGGAGAGGAAAAAAAAAGGTCGTGGTTTACAGGGGTGGGCGGGGACCCAAAGCCTAAAGCATGAGCTTCGCACGCAACTTAACAATACTACCTTTATAAAGACTGTATTGTGTTAGTCAATGAGCACACACACATATTCACATAAGACACCACTGGTGCTACACATGCGCATGCACGTACATCAAGGAGTTTAATAGGAATAGGTAATTATATGATGGAATTTACAGTAATTATATGATGGAATTTACACTGTAGCTATCCATGTAAAAGCATAGAATAAAGGCTTTGTGACTTCCAGATAATGGGTTCAGAGAGGCATGGGCTCTTCTGTGCTCAAAATGGAACCAAATAACTGACCCATCTGTGGAACAGCTGGACATTATGTTTGACATAAGAGGTACTTGTGTCAGTCCGAGCTCAACCCAAAATCAGAATTTCTGAAAGCTGTTCAGAATTCCCTTTGTCCTTGATCCTTTCTGTCATTGTCCTGCCCATTTTTTAAAATGAATCATAAATGACCAACAAATCAAGAAAGAATGACACTCAGCCTTTGTTGTAGAACTGACAGAGAGCCCCAATGACTCGCTGACAGGTGGCCTCTCCCGGGTTTCTGCCTGTCTGTTATCCGCTGTCTTGAAATCTACAGTATTATGACTTACTATCTCAAGGGTGCCTTATTTGTATGGAGAACAAAAAGCCTGAATAAAGTTGGGAAGGAGGGTTTAAATTGAGAATCATGTGGTCTCTCTTATGATGGATGCTTATGGTAACACCTGTGAGTCATCACCTTGTAGGTGTGTAAAGCTGTATGGTTATATTATTCACAGTAAACCTTTAAATCCAGAGGTGACTTATCGAGACCATTACTTTTTTCAATGAGTTATTTGTCCAATTAATGAGGAACACAAGATACTGTATGTTTTCTATTTCACTTATTACTGACGTCATGCAGGATATTCTCAAAACAACTAGACTATGCATTTAACCAAACAACATTGCTCCTTCTCTCTTCTCTCTGATTGGCTGTGAAGTCTGTCTGTCACAGCTCTGACTGGCAGCTTGCGTGTAAAAGGCAGAGTTACTGGGATTTAGCCTGGGGCGCCTGCGGTCAGCACAATATGTGTACTATAAATAATTTTGGCTGTGTATGTTATGTGATTGTGTGAACAGGGATAGAGAGAGAGAGTGAGCTACACACACACTAGGCTCAGGGCTTCCTCTCCTGTGAGCGTCTGCAGTCAGAGTGCAGGTACAATAGGGAGCATTGTTCAGCTGGCAGGCCCCTGCGTGCCGGCTCCCCTTCTCTACCTGAGCACAGAGACAGGTGTATTTCTCCTAGTCACGCATAGCCCTGCCACACTCCCAGCTGCCTACACACACTACTTGCTGCTGAGATCACACACACACCTCGAAAAGCATCCAAAGACAAAAGCTAGGATACACCTACTGTACATGCTGATTACACATATTTTATTCCTCACAGTAAGTTGCTTGGTTAAACCCTTAAACTTACCTTCATCTTTTCCAAATTAAAAATATTAAACCAGCTTTAATACATATCCTTTTACCTGCATATCCAAAATGTTGGTCCTTCAAACCAATTGTCTCTAAAGATTTATGCACATTTACATAAACTAAATTTGCCTACAAGGACTACACAGCTCCAGCCTCGATGCACAGTGAGTTCCCACAGGAAATACAGGTGTTTGTTGATAATTAGTGTTTTAAAACCTGATGGTGACATGGCTTACACCTTGACTCGGATACTAGGGTAAAAAAAAAAGAAAACCTTAGTCCTTAGAAATCCCCCCTTTGTGTGTGTTAAAGAGTAAGACAGAATGCATTGTGCACATTTTGGTGGAACTGTACAACCAGTCCAGGCCAAAAAATTTATTTAATTTCCCCTTAAGTGGGAAAACATGTTTGAGTAAACATTATTACCCCTGTTTCAGTTTGACATGTTAATGCAGGATGAGAGGGGAAAGACCTGAAGGGAGTAAGAGATAAAGGGATATGACAAGCGCTCAGAAAAAGTGAATTTACTAACATTTTTATGTTACAAATAATGAAATGGAAAGCATAACACAGTTAGGGTGGGGGGTGACATTAATTACATGATTTCCTTTAAACGAACCTCCCTTCCTCCCACAGATCTGACTCCCTGCGGTGCTAGGAGTCCAGCCCAAGCAGTCTCATAGCACAAAAGGATTAGCTCTTTATCCTAGCTGATTCTAAAGAAAAGAGGTACATACCATATTATGTCTTTTTATATAGAGCAGGCACAAGTCATGCTTCCCCAATTTTCACATGAGTAATCTTCATCTGTGTCACTCTGAGGCTTCACCATGGCCCCTTTTTAGCTCCGCTTTGTCTTTACTCATGGCAAGGCCAAAAATCCTGATGGAAGTCTGCATGAAATTACAGGAGCTGCCAAATTTTAATTCATTCTCAGGTTTCCTGGCTGATATTTACCAAATTAATTCCCAGGCGGATGTAGAAATAATAACGCCCATGAAAGTGGGAGAGTGGGAAAATAAGGAGGGGAAATCAAGTGTGACTGGGAATCAAGCCTGTGGTGGTGGGGTGTCAGTGAAAGGGCATGCTGACATTTTCTCTTTTACTCATTGGCTTCATTCACATTACTTCTATTCCCCACCTAATAACACAGCTCATATCATACCAGAAGATGGACTGCGTAGTTAAATAGCCACAATATAGCCTGCATTATTGCAACCATCTCTTGACGTCATAGGCTCTTGCTCTTTATCCATGTCACTAGAGCTTGGGCCCTCAAAGCCACATAAGGAAACATTTGTTCCCAGTCTGGTTGAATAGAGCCTTGTGTCGGATATAGTCAAAGAGATACAAGGGGAAAGGACATCTAAACAGTTCAGAACAAGAGCTCTGCTCTGAAGCTCCTTTCTCTCTGAACTGGGCCAGTAATGAATGTCCTTTAGTCTTAATCACTCTCAGAGCACACACTGGAGATATGACTGACTCCTTTGTCCTCCTTTATGGTTTGTATGCTGAAAGCAGAAGGGGTCATCACTTCCATTAAATATTAGATCTGTTCCACCATCACTGGGTGATCACTGTACTGCTTGTGTGGGCAGAGTAATTTCTATGCATCACACATTTTACAGTTGTATGAATATGTGGATGTACTACGACTAATGTGTTTATGCCTGCTTAAAAATAGCTGAAGCTCCTCTTCAGTCAGTCAGTCAGCTTTGTTTCCCTTGGATTCTCTAATGCATTCCTTATTTTCATCCCATCTGTTTGAACAGCATTCAGGATGGGTTTTATGCTCTCTGGATAGGATTATCCTTGTCACACCAATCTGGAAAACATTTGTGTGCACATTAGTGCATACCTATTTACACACCCTGGCATGAGTGGAGACAGGGTGGAGAAGGATGAACACAAGTGGGCACACACACACACACTCACACACATGCAGATATTTGCACACACACACACACACAGGCAAGCCTGTATACACACATGCATTATGCACATGCACACATTGAGAAATAATGTATTTTCATTTATTTTAGCTTTTTTATAAGACTGACTGATTCCTCAGCATAACAGCAGGGGAAACTGTTGCCTTTGTTGTTTTCACTGATCACATTGTTTTAGATAAGAGGTGATTACCTCTAAATTACTTCTACAAGTTAATTACCTCTACTAATACTTTAATTTATCCTTAATTAATGATTAATGAGTTAGGGGAGATCCTTCATGCAGAGGTCAACACAATGAACCAGATAAACATGTATAACCTTTCTTTTCTTTCCTTCTTGCTCTTACAAGGAAAAGCCCTTCACAGAGCAGAGGTGGCTTAGGAATGCGAGACAGGAATGCTGCTGAGTTACTATAAAGGGGGTTTGATCACTGAAAACAATGTCTTTGTGTTTTCATCCCCAGCTCCAGTCACGCAATTCTGTGTATGCAAACCTCCAGCAACTTTTCAACCCCTGCACACAACAAAGCCATCAAATACCTGGAATTGACAGAATCGCGTGCATTTCAGGTACTCCTGGATAGTACTGGTGCACCGCCACATTAGGAGTGAAGGAAAAGGTGGAGTGGAGCTTCACCTGGTTAGACTCTTAATACACACTGTCTTGTGTTCAGAGACCCAGTCATAGTGCTGAGGTAAAACCACTTTAGCTCAATTCATCCAACATTTTGACATGGCATGCGATCTGATCATCTCAGTTCATAAATAGATGTAATATTTATGCTGGTAAAATATATTCAGATGTAAATTTTGTGGGGGAAATATGGTAATCTCTATTATGTTCTAATTTTAGTTTTGACTTTATACTCCATTCCTAGAAATCCAGTCCTGGTTTTGAGGTTTGAGGGAAGTAATGATCCCAGAAATACAAGCAAGCCTGGAGGTGGTTAGGACATGAAAGTGTGGTAAGAAAGACAAGAGATTCATTCATGGGAAGGTGATTCAAGGCACCGACATCCTTGTATCTCTGCACAGCGGCAGATGCTCATTGTTACTCACACACACACCTCACACCGGGTTCACACGCAACCTAACGGACAGATTACAGCAAGTTTATAACAGCTATATTTATTACAAGTTACTTGACTGTAACAACAACAGCAACAACAACAATAATAATAACAATAATAATAAAGCTCATATTATCTTTTACCTTTCAGTATCAAGCAAATACATTTTTCTGTGTTTTATACCTGAATGCCATTATACTATTGATACACAACATGTATCATTCCTTTTTTTGTTGTTGTTGCTGTTTTAAATGGTTTTAATTATATCATCCTTCTGTTCTCACATATTTGGCAGCAGCAACAAACTCCACTCACCATCATGCCTTTGGCGCCCACGCTGGCCGGGAGTAGCATGCGCTGTGCTGCTGTGCTCCAACTATGGCTCAGTGCGGTTCAGGCAGCTCACTAGATCGCATCTTATCAGCGACAGAGAAACGCGTTGGAGTGGAAGAAGGGACCGTCACTGCACTGGACTATAAAGAGGAACGCAGTTCTTTTTTTGATATTTATTGGAAATAATCACACATCGATGTGCTTAATTTGCCAAAGCACAGATCACTTTACCAAGGATTATGTGGACGGATTAAGAGGATGACATGCGAACCATTCAGCAGTGACACACGTGGAGTTATTTACAGTATTAATAATATCATTGTTATCGGTGAAACATAATCACGATGGCCTCAGCTGACGGATTAGACAGTCTACTTGTGGATCGTACAGTAGGATTTGAGGAAATACTGTCCCTTACACGGAATGAGCAGTGTCCACTACTCCAGCTGCCCGAGACCTGCTGCTGGACAAGTGGCTTGTCAGACAGACGTCTTGGGTTATTTCACGCGTGTAAAGTGTGTGTCCACTATCATTGATGGCCACTACCGTGATATGCTTTTGGAGTTTTGTGCATTTTGACATGAGGAAAGGAATACCTTGGGATATATTTTGGGAACGATGCTCAGCAGATGTCCAGCGGTTTGGATAATGACAGTGCGCATCACATCATCCAGCAGGTATGTGCGAATGCAGAATTACCTACAACTTCTACCTTTGGGCAGCGACAGGCTAAGAGTAGAGTAGTTCACTTTGTGTCAGCAATGTATGTTGTCATTTGTTGTGAATTTGCACAACGTGCAGCCTATGGTCAGTGCGTTCTGGGAACTGTTTTTCAAAGGGGACCCAATGAGGAATAACTTCATGTCACCAGCTGTTGTTTCACATTCAGTAAAATGTTTAACAGTGGTTGTTCTGACCACAGGTTCTGTCATTATATCTCCCCACACAGCCATGTGGCTTACACATTTTACGTATGCTAACAATCAAACACTTTTCCTATGAAATTCTTTAGAGCAGCTATTATAAAGTTGGGGTTTATGTCTAATATGTGTCCGTGGAGAGGGGCGTGTTTGATATTTAAAGCCATGTCAAACTCAGTTTGCTCCACGTAGCCTGTTGAGGTTCACCTGTTTACTGCTCCGTTATTCTTTGGGTTCATTACGCACGCACCTCGCACCTTCAAGACGGACTAAAATGGACTTAGGTGTAGGAACTAATTGAGCACTGTCTCTGCCTAACGTGCGCAGTCTAATCAGTCCATTTTTTAATGTTATATCGACGCCATACACCTCCAGTGCCACAGCCCGTTCACGGAGCCATGACCTGTCATAAATTGTGAAAGACCAGGTGCAACAAAATAAATAGTGCCCAGTGACAGCAACGTTTAGTCCTGCTCTCCTACAGTGACTCCATTCAGGTAGAGTAAATCTACTTGAGCTCCATAACAGAGTCCATCCATGTGAAGACACTGTCATTGGTGCACATAACATGTTTAGGAGATCAAATTATTTTGCGGTTGATACACCTGGAGATTTGGATTATGCTTAGATGTTTCGTTTCAGTTGAACCCTCAGGGGTGTGAGCTCATACTGGTTAGTGAACCTTATGTGGTCTGGATAATATGAGAGAAGTGTTTTGCACCAGTTCTCATCTCTAACAGCATAGTTTCATGGTACAGTAGGTGTGTATGTCATGTAAGTTATCTGATGAAGCTCCTGCCTTTATAGAGCACCTTCTGCTTCCTTCCCCCTTCAGCTCTCACCTCTCATTCCTATCCACTTCTTTAGCAATAAAGAATTCCATCTATTGCTGCCATAGGGGACAGAGCCCCACTATATGTTTGTATACAGCGCAAAGCACAACCCCACCCCACCAACTCAGC